GTAGTCAACTGTCCTGTGTAAATGAGCACAGTGCCCTTTCAAGTCTTTGGCCAACACACTGGCTCTGTGATCGATAATAAGTAATGCTTATTCCAGGCAAAGTCAGGAATTAGGAAAACTCTTCCTGCGTTTCCTTTTAAGAGTACTTGTGGGCTGGGCCTGGTGGCTTATGCCTGTAATCCCAGCACTTTGGGAGGTCGAGGCGGGCGGATTACAAGCTCAGGAGTTCAAGACCAGCCTGATCAACATGGTGAAAACCGGTCTCTACTACAAATACAAAAATTAGCTGGGTGTGGTGGTGTGCGCCTGTAATCCTAGTTACTCAAGAGGCTGAGGCAGCAGAATTGCTTGAACCCGGGATGGGGAGGTTGCAGTGAGCCGAGGTTGCACTACTGCACTTCAACCTGGGTGATGGAGCGAAACACCATCCCCAAAAAAAAAAAAAAAAAAAGAGTACCTGTGGCCAGATGGGATCTTTCTATGTTTTCTCTTGAGAATACTTGTGGATAACAAACTGTCTCACGCCTGTAATCCCAGTGCTTTGAGAGGTCAAGTGGGGAGGATCCCTTGAATTCAAGGATTTGAGACCAGGCTGGACAACATAGGGAGGTCACCATCTCAAAAAAATGTAATAATAAAGTTAAAAACATTTTTAAAAAAGAATACTTGCCAACCACAAAGGAAAGGGTTTTGGTTCTTTTTCTCCCTCCTCAATCCTAGGAACCCGTAAAGGGTTTTGGTTCTCGGTGTGCATAAGGAACATTTCCATTTTAAACCAGAAGGCTAGAGACATTCTAGCAATCTACCAGTTGTTCCCTACCTGTAGGATGAGAACTTTTCACAGCAGCGCCACCAGTATTGATCTGTGTATGTGAGGTCTTTCAAAAAAGAGTGGGCATCACCAGAGTCGGTGCAGTAAATATCCACCCAGTGAATGACACCCAATGAATGACTGCTCAAGTGCCAAGTAAATGAATGGACAGCTGTTGATGCTGTTATATTTCTTTGAGACTATAATGTGTTGTAATCATTGTTTTGTTTTGAGACTCCTGCTCCATTCAATTGGGCTTCCAAAAATTCTGGTAATCTGAAGTGTGCTTCTGGACATTGTATCCCAAGTTTGACCTGTAGAGCCCATGGAGTTTATATACAGGCCACACCCAAGGAAGGACAAAGTTAATGACATGACCTTCGATTAGATTTGCTTTGTGAGGCCCTAGGGAAGGAAACCTTGGACCCAGGAGCTGGTGAGTAGATTCCAGCAAGGTAAGGAAGAACGACCTAAGAATTAGAACTGTTACAAAATACAGCAACGCCACTGAAGTTCATCTAAATTGCTTATAAATATAGCTTTGTGTATGCGCTCAAATACCTTTAAAGGTGGATTTCTAGAAGTTGGATGGTTCTGTTGAAAGGTATATGCTGTTTATAGTTTATAGACATTGGCCAGTTGCCTTCCAAATGGCTGCATTAATTTATACCTCATATACTGCACCCAATTCCACACAGCCTCATAAATATGGGATGATACCAGTTTTTTTTTTCTTTTTCTCTTTTGTTTTTTGAAGATGGAGTTTCGCTCTTGTTATCCAGGATTGCGTGCAACAGCACAATTTCAGCTCACTGAAACCTCCGCCTCTCAGTTTCAAGTGATTCTTTTGCCTCAGCCTCCTGAGTAGCTGGGATTACAGGCGCCTGCCACCACGCCCAACTGATTTTTTATTTTTAGTGGAGATGGGGTTTCACCATGTTAGCCAGGCTGGTCTTGAACTCCTGACCTCAGATGATCCACCCACCTCGGCCTCCCAAAGTGCTGGGATTACAGGGGTGAGCCACTGCACTCGACCTGAGTCTTTTTCATTGTTACCAATCTGATAGGTAATATTCCCTCAGAAATTCAGGAGTGGGAAAGGAGATAAACATGAGTAGGAGAGATGGGGAAATGTCAGAGACTGGAAGGAGCACCTGTGAGCATTACAGCACCAGGAGTTGGAGATCAGCTAAATCAGAGAGCGGCCCCTGTTCTCAGGAAACAGGGTGGACAGGTAAGGGAGTTGGGGGATGATAGTAATTGACTGAGGTAAAACCAAAATGCTGGCTGGCTGCAGTGGCTCACACTTGTAATCCCAGAACTTTGGGAGGCTGAGGCAGGAGGATCGCTGGAGCGCAGGAGTGTGAGACCAGCCTGGGTAACACAGGAAGATGCCATCTCAACAGAGAAAAAAAATAGCTGGGCATGGTGGCATGTATGCTTGCAGTTCTAGCTACTTGGGAGGCTGAGATGGGAAGCTTGCTTGAGCCTGGGAAGTAGAGGCTGCAGTGAGCCATGATCCTGCCACCGCATTCCAGCCTGGGTGACAGAGAGAGACTTTGTCCCAAAAAAATTAAAATAGGCCGGGTGCTGTGGCTCACGCCTGTAATCCCAGCACTTTGGGAGGCCAAGAGTTCAAGACCAGCCTGGCCAACATGGGGAAAACCCGTCTCTACTAAAAATACAAAAATTAGCTGGCATGGTGGTGGGCGCCTGTAATTCAAACTACTTGGGAGGCTGAGGCAGGAGAGTCGCTTGAACCCAGGAGGTGGAGGTTTCAATGAGCCGAGATCGTGTCACTGTACTCCAGCCTGGGCCACAGAGCCAGACTCCGTCTCCAAAATAAATAAATAAATAAGAAAACCCCAAATGCTTCACATTGCTACCAATGTGCTCATTTGGTGCTGGAGCCTAAAGTAGCTAGAACTACATGTCTGCTTTACGGTACCAGGCAAGGCAGAAAGCAGACATGCAGTGAGTTTTCGCTAAACCGATGGGGTCGACTATCTTGCAGTGCAGGAAATATGTTTAGGCACTAACACACTTAAAATCGTGGTCGCGAAGTTGTAAAATTCTGGAACTGCTGAAATTCCAAGATAAGGGCAAATGTAATCCTTATTTTGTAGCTCCTTTTACAAAGTTGTTAACAATATGGAATTTTATTTCCTCATAAAATGATTATGTATGATATTTAGATTTACAATAAGGCTGATTTATACAATGAGAGCTGTCCCTAATTGAACTGAAATAGTTTAATATTTGTAGTTAAAAGCTGCTGATCTTAAATCCACATTGTAGTTTTGTCAATTAAGAGACGTGGCAAAAACTAGAAAAAAATCATCAATATTCAAGGGAAATTAATAAAATATAGTTATATCTGTGGACTGAATGTCTGACTCGGAGGTGGGTGAGTGGTGGGTAAAAAATGCAGTTGAGAGAAAAAGACTTTATTTCAGAAAAGTTGCTGGGAAAAGAAAAATGTCTCTTCCTAAATGTATTGAATATAACCTATTGTAATGTGAAAACTTGCCTAATGAGTTTTATTTGAAAATCAATTGAACTTGATCTGATTCCCAGTAACATGCAGTGTAAGAACAGGCCCCAGGCTCAGCTCCATCCCTTCCATCTATCCATCCATCCATCTAAAACCCATCCATCCGTCCATAGCCGATAACTAATAATTATAGGGTGTTTACTACGTGCCAGATACTGTTCTTTTTTTTTTTTTTTTTTTTGAGACAGAGTCTTGCTCTGTCACCCAGTCTGGAGTGCAGTGGCACAAATCTGGCTCACTATAACCACCACCTCCAAAGTTCAAGTGATTCTTATGCCTCAGCCTCCCAAATAGCTGAAATTACAGGCGTGTGCCACTATGCCCAGCTGATTTTTGTATTTTTAGTAGAGACGAGGTTTCACCATGTTGGCCAGTCTGCTCTGAAACTCCCGACCTCAAGTGATCCGCCCACCTTGGCCTCCAAAAGGTTACTAAGTGCTTCACATGCATTATCTCAAGTAATCTTCCCAGCAATGTTACGAGGCAAGTGCTATCATTATCCTGAGTTTAAAATGGAATCTGAGGGTTTCCCAATAAGTTAAACATAGAATTAATTATTATATGACCCAGCAATTCCACTCATAGGTATACACCCCCACTCAAACTAGAAACAGATGTTTAAACAAAACTTTACAGGGATGTTCATTCACAATAGCCAAAAGGTGGAAACAGCCCAATGGCCATAAACAGATGAGTGGATAAACAAAATGTGGCATGTCTATACAATGCAGTAGCATTCAGCCATAAAAAAAGGAAATTCTGCTGGGGGCAATGGCTCACGCCTATAATCCCAGCACTTTGGGAGGCTGAGGTGGGCGGATCACTTGGGTCAGAAGTTTGAGACGAGCCTGGCCAACATGGTGAAACCCCATCTCTAGTAAAAATACAAAATGTTAGTTAGGCATGGTGGCAGGCGCCTACAGTTCCCGCTACTTGGGAGGCTGAGCCCGGAGAATCACTTGAACGCGGGAGGTGGAGGTTGCAGTGAGCCGAGATCATGCCACTGCATTCCAGCCTGGGCAACAGAGCAAGACTCTGCCTGCCCCCCATCCCCCAAAAAACAAACAGGAAATTCTGACCTTTGCTACAACATGCATGCCCCTTGAAAACATTATGTGAAGGAAGCCAAGCACAGAATGTCATGCACTGTATGGTACATACATATTGTACGATTTCATTTATATGAAATATCCAGAATAGGTAAATCCATAGACACAGAAAGCAGATTCGTCATTGCCAGGGACTGTGGCAAGAGGGCAATAGGAATTAACTGCTTACTAGGTATGGGTATCAGGTTTTTGTTTGTGATGAGAAAGTTTTGGAACTAGTGGTGATACTTGCACAACATTGCAAATGTACTCAATTCACTGAATTGTACACTTTAAATGGCTAAAAACAGGGCCAGGTTCAGTGGCAATGCCTGTAATCCCAGCATTTTGGGAGGCCAAGGTGGGTAAATCACTTGAGGTCAGGAGTTTGAGACCAGCCTTGCCAACATGGTGAAACCCCTTCTCTACTAAAAATACAAAAATTAGCCAGGTGTGATGGTGCACACCTGTAATCTCAGCTACTCGGGAGGCTGAGGTGGAAGAATTGCTTGAACCCAGGAGGCGGAGGTTGCAGTGAGCTGACTCAGAGAATTTATAAGTGATTTATCTGATGTTAACTTACAGATGATACGTGGTACAGCTGTGTTTTAATCTCAGTCACCTGGCTTTTTGGCTCATGCTTTTTAAAACAATGCAGAGAAAACTTTATTTTGGGCCATTTAGGAGGTTTCGATCATTTTGATCATCTACAGCTGCCTTTTCTTCACACACAGGAAAGGCCTTGGAAAGCAGTGGTTGCGCCAGACAGCCCAGGAAAGAGCTGCAGTCTGAAGACCCGGGGCCACCTGCTGTTCCCAGGCATTCATGTCCCTCTGGGGTGGAGGAAGGACCCGGGACAATGGCTGCTGCTCATGATCTGGAGATGGAGAGCATGAATCTGAATATGGAGAGAGAGAGGAAAGAAGAGCTGGAGGAAGAGGAGAAGATGAGAGAGGATGGGGCAGGGAAAGATCGTGCCAAGAATAAAAAGGTCCACAGGATCGTCTCAAAATGGATGCTTCCTGAAAAGGCCCGAGGAACATACTTGGAGAGAGCTAACTGCTTCCCACCCCCCGTGTTCATCATCTCCATCAGCCTGGCCGAGGTGAATGGGGAGCGGGGTGGGCACCTGGGTAAGTGGCACGGGGGAGTTGCAAGCAAACTAGGGGTCAGATGTAGATGTAGAGAAGGGACTGGGAACATGTGACAGAGCTTGGTGGGGATGGGGACAGCACACACCTAACCTCTGCCTCCTCCCTCCCCAGAGCTACCTTTGGGGGCTTTCCTTACACTCCGGTTCACTGCCAACCCAGGGCAGAATTTTGTCAGATAAATCTGCCCAGCTGTGGCTGCATTTTCAGTGGCTTCCTTTCACTTTAGCCGTGATGTTTTTAGGAACCAAATCATCCTGGGGTTGCACGTGGGTTTTCTCTCATCAACCAATTTAGACTGGTTGGTAAGGCCTTTCTGGGGCCCCAGGTTTAGAAGTATGATAGGCTGTTTCTCAATTTCAGTGGGGAAAAAACAGGATCCTTTAACAATGTCTACTTAAAGCAGCACGTGGTGTGTTGTCAAGCTCTGATCTAGACAGTCCTCTTGTTTTCCAGAAAAGACTGCAAGGCTCAGAGAGGTGGGATGACTTTCCCAAGGTCACATCATAGTCACGGGGCCAGGATGAGGCTCCCCTCTACCTCATGGCACCTAGTGTTTTCACCCACACTTGATGTCCTGCAAAGGAGCTGGCCAATTATGGCTGCCTGTGGGGTGTGACTTCACGGGCATTAGGAAGTTCCTACTGTAATCCTTTTAATTCCCATTGATGCGCTGATGCCTCAGCCTCCTTACCGGAAACTGTATTAGTCAGAGTTCTTCAGAAAAACAGAATCAATAGGTGTGTGTGTGCTGGGGGAAGAGAGATCAAGATTTATTTTAAAATCCAGACGTAGTGGCTCATACCTGTAATCTCAGCACTTTGGGAGACTGAGGCAGGCAGATCACCTGAGGTTGGGAATTTGAAACCAGCCTGGCCAATAGGGTGAAACCCCAACTCTACTAAAATTACAAAAGTTTGCTGGGCATGATGGCA